TCATAGGTTTAAAAACAATTTGAAACAAGGGAACAACAACATAGAAGTCATCCATTACAAGTCCACTAGAAGCAGATTACAATAAGACGATAGCAAGACAAACATCCATCATTTAGGAAGAGACGAGGAAGTTGAGGCACCATCCGCAGCATCATCCCCTTGAGGAGGTGTATACTGAATCTCAGTAAAACTAGGACCGGAAGGAATCACATGAAATACCATGTCTCCTTCCTTTTTGAACACGAGAATGTCACCGATGCAAAGGGTGTGTGCTTGGGAGAAGGCTTCCCAACCATCGGTGAGTCTTCTTCCTTCTTGTATAACTTCCCAAGTTTGGTGTGAAGCGTCCGATCGTAGTGTCCATTTTCCTTGGTTCGGCGTGCCTTCTATGTGGTTTGCGTAGAAGGCAAGTGGTATTGTCTACAAGTCAACAAAGGAGAAGATAAGCAAAGGAAATAAACAGAGGAGAAATAGAGAGCGTGTGTATACCACGCCACTGTAGAAACCAGGAAGCAGAGGCTTCAAGAAGTGAGGTTCATGCTGATTCGCCATCTGCAACCAAGAAACGAATTGGAAACATTTTAATTCTATGTCGTCTGGGTCGTCCACCTGGAAGACTTATAATTAAGTCGTCTGGAAAGTCTTCCAGGTGGAAGACTTTCCAGACGACTTAATTATAAGTCTACCAAGACTCCAGTAGAACTTCCAGGTGGACGACCCTAAAATGACCGTAAAATGAGAGGAAAACAACATCCAACCTAACTAAACAACAAGTCGATTGAAATCCCCAATTTTTGAAACCCTAATTTAAAACCAAAATTACCCCAAATCGTTGAAAACACAAAACCAAACGGTAAAAGTAAAGGAAAACATCCATCCTAATAAAAACCCATAAATCTGCAAGAGAAGCCTTCGATTTACCTTGGTCTTGTATCGGATCGAAATCGCCTCGAAATCACCTTTGAGAGAAACGGCGTTAGGGTTTTCTGAGTTTCGCGAAAAAGTGAGTCAAAAAAACATCTTATATATGTCCGGTAAAAAATACGGTTAGGTTTAAAAGTAATTTGGTAAAATCCGGTTTGTACGACTTATTATTAAGTCGTCTGTTGATACTATACATCCGACTAAGTCGTCTGCCTTATTAAATATATTTACCAGACGACTTAATTATAAGTCGTCCAGACCCTAAACCCTAAATCCTAAACTAAATTGACTAAATTAACTACTAACCATGTTATAAAATCAAATTATACTTAAATAGTGTTTACTATACACAGAAATAAACACACTTAGGTAAATTTTAAATTTTTCCAAAAAACATTTATGCTTTCAAATTTCTAACCCTAAGAGACACATACAATACTACAACATATGTTGGTGAAACCTAAACTAAAGAATATCATCACTCACTACTTTCACTTATCTATGCTGAAAACAACTGAGTTTTTTTATATCTTAATTTATATCTCTTAAGACATATGTTAATTACATAATCCCAATTTTTCATTTATCAAGATATTTATTACACAATTTTTAAATTATTTTAAGAAAAACTGTCTCAGACGACTTGCGAGGGCTAGAAACGTAAAAAAAGACTATTTTTTTGTTTGTTCACAAGGGGTTGGTTGTAATTTCAACAGTCTTTTAAGTTACTTTTGCATTTGATTCAAGTTTGGGTTTACTTTTGCATTTCAAATCAAGTTTTGAGTCATATTTAGCAATTTTTCCTAAGAAATATCTACAGATGTAATATTCCTCCAACTATAAGATGGCGATTATGATTTGATTGGATCTCTTGAATGAGGCTTAATATAATATATTCCTTTGAAAACCTTCACAAACAAAAAACGAGCATTTACTTACAATTGTTTGTCTAAAAGAACCATATTAAAATCTTGAATGTCTTGAAATGTATTGTCATGATAAAATTTATCCCCAAGGTTCAGCAGCTGTTGAAGGACTTCTTCGAAGGGAAATAACCAAACAAGGTTGTGAACCCCGGCGAAGCTGTTGCTTATGGTGCTGCTATCCAGGGTGGTATTCTGAGCGGAGAAGGCGGTGATGAGACTAAAGATATCCTTCTTCTCGACGTTGCGCCACTCACTTTGGGTATTGAGACAGTAGGAGGAGTGATAACAAAGCTGATCCCGAGAAACACAGTAACACAGTTATTCCAACCAAAAAGTCTCAGGTTTTCACGACATACCAAGACCAACAGACCACCGTCTCCATCCAGGTCTTTAAAGGTGAGCGAAGTCTCACACTAACTCACACGAAGGTGTAATTCTTTTATATTATGACTCACACTAACTCTTTGAGAAACGTAGAGCTGGCAAGTTTTTCAGGATATATTAATTGCGATAAAAATATAAAACACATAGAATGGGAACATTGTTACATTTAAACATCTGAAAATTTTCATGAGTAGTTGCATTTTCTCACGCATCAAATAAATTTTCCGTATTTTTACAATGCTTTATTGTTACATTTAGAAATCTGAAAATTTTCAAGAATCAACATAAATTTTCAAGAATCAACATAAATTTGTTAACACCAAATCTTCTGGAAAGCTTTCCTGAAATTACATAAATCTTTCCTGAAAATTTAGAAAAACTACACAATTTCACAAGCACAAATAAGAGACTAACAATTTCATAAGGAAATTCACGAGCCTACCAAAGATATCAACATGCGTAAGCAAAACAAGAAGACACAAAGCACAAAAAAAAAATTCAAATTTGTTATTATCAAATATTCTGGAAAGCTTTCCTGAAACTACACAAATCCTTCCTGAAATTTTGAAAACACTATACAGTTTCATAAGCACAAGTACAACCACAAGTAAGAGACTAACAATTTCATAAGAAAATTCACGAGCCTATCAAAGATATAACATAACTAAGCAAAACAAGAAAACACCAAAAAAAAAAAAAAATCAAATTTGTTAACATCAAATTTTCTGGAAAGCTTTCCTGAAACTACATAAATCATTCTTGAAATTTTAAAAATACTACAAAATTTCACAAGCACAAGCAAGAGATTAACAATGTTATAAACAAACTCACAAGCCTACCAAAGATATCAACATGCGTAAGCCAAACAAGTAAAATAAATAACTTCATTTGTATAATTGAGGATGAAGAAATGAGTTAAGTAATTTTATTTTTAAAAATTAGACAACTTCATTTGATTCTTACCAATATAGTGTACAATTCTTATTTTGGTCAAACCACGACATGTCTAATCGAGACTTTCCCCAATTGCACTCAAAATCTTAATTTTGTTTGTTTTTGTATGATTTTCTTCTTTCTTATACAATTCAGGATAAGATTCCTGATCATGTACTAAACCTTCCAAATAAATTGAATCGTGCAGATGTTACCAGTGTTTATAATATAAAATTAACGGTTAATATATTTATGTTTTAGCTTCTACTAGATGTTTTTAAACAAACTGTTGATGTAAGTACAAGCAATGATTGCTAAACTTTCGAGGCGTTACTGTTTCTTCACTTAGTCGCAGCTTTCGAATTAGGATCCGAGTTCAACTCAGAGGAGCTTTCACGTTACGTATCATGATTGCTAAGTACAAGCAAGCGACTTTGGTTTGTAACAAGATTGGTTTAGATAAGAAAAGAATTGGAGAGATCATCACGAAGCTTTTGAGTACTGGTAAAAGGACTTGTAGATTTTCTCAAAATGGAGCTGTGGAAGACCGTTGGAGTGTGTTCTTTTTTGGTTGCTGATTTGCTGCCGCCATTCTTAGCTGGACAAACACATACAGAACTTAAGTTATTAGTATCTAACAACTGAACATGTCACTGGACAAAAACGTGTGTAGAAACAAAGATACTACAAGTAATGCAGAGGATGACTATTTCTTTTTAAGTTGGACATAACCTATAATGGGCAAAAAACAATAAGAACTTCTCTCTGCTTGTTTACCTGTTCTTGTTGCCTCTTGTGTCTTGCATTTTCTGTCTGCAGGTGAGCCACTTCAAGCTCTAACTCGATTGTATAAAGCCTGCAAACGAGAATCAAAACCTTTTTTAAACAAAAACATTTTGATGGCAAAACCAGATTTATCTTTTCAGTAAAAGGTTAGTTAGAGGAGGAGAGGCACATTCCTGTTTCCTAGCTCGGGAACGAGCTGCAGATTCTCTGTTCTTGATCATACGCTTGTGTCTTCTATTCCCTGAACCTTCATTTGGCTCCGGGCCTCTTTTTCTTACCAAAACAACCAGTAAGATCCTCAAAAGAGGTGTTGAATGAAGGAACGTTCGTGATAGGAGGGGTAACAAGAGAATCTTGGTTATCAAGAAACTCGAAGCCGGCACCAGAATTCAAGCTAAGAACAGTTTTAAATGAGATCACTTGGCGGTGAGGTATATCTACGAGTGTGGGAAGACTGATGGGTTTGAGCCAGTCTCTGTGTTGAAAGGTTATATTAAGGGGTCGAGATTCTTCACTCTTTCTTTGATTCTTCAAGAGAAATAAGCTAAAATTCAACATAATTGATAACCTAAAATTTTGATCTGAAAATCTAATTTTAATTTACAAGCAAAAACCATCAAACTTACATGTATAAGATTTATTTGGAACAAGAGGGGTTATTTGGATCTAATCTTTACAAGCCAAAACCATCAAACTTACATGTATAAGATTTAATTTCGAGTAAAACATTCAGTAAGAGTTTCCTGAAAATTTAACTAAAAATAAAATTGTTAGGCTAGCAAGTTAAATATTTAGGAAGATTTAGGAAGGACTTCAAAAAAATTTATATTTAACTAAAAGAAAATAATATTTTAGGCTAGAAAGTAAAATATTTAGGAAATGCTTCCTAGAAAATATTTTGGGTAGCAAGTAAAACATTCAGTAATAGCTTCCTGAAAATTTAACTAAAAATAAAAATGTTAGACTAGCAAGTAAAATATTTAGGAAGATTTAGGAAGGACTTCCTGAAAATTTAATATCTAACTAAAAAACAAAATTTAGGCTAAAAAGTAAAATATTTAGGAAATGCTTCCTAAAAAGATATATTGGATAGCAGATGAAGCATTTAGGAATGGCTTCTTGAAAATTTAATATTTAACTAAAAAGGAAAATGCTATGATATCAAGTAAAATATTTAAGAAGATTTAGAAAAGGCTTCCTGAAATTTTTTAATATTTAATTAAAAAATAATATTTTAGGCTAGAAAGTAAAATATTTAGGAAATGCTTCCTAGAAAATATTTTGGATAGCAAGTAAAACATTCAGTAAGAGCTTCCTGAAAATTTAACTAAAAATAAAAATGTTAGGCTAGCAAGTAAAATATTTAGGAAGATTTAGGAAGGACTTCCTGAAAATTTAATATTTAACTAAAAAAAATAAAATTTAGGCTAAAAGGTAGAATATTTAGGAAATGCTTCCTAAAAAGATATATTGGATAAGCAGATGAAGCATTTAAGAATGGCTTCTTGAAAATTTAATATTTAAATAAAAAGGAAAATGCTATGACATCAAGTAAAATATTTAAGAAGATTTAGAAAAGGCTTCCAGAAAATTTTTAATATTTAATTAAAAAAATAATATTTTTGGCTAGAAAGTAAAATATTTAGGAAATGCTTCGTAGAAAATATTTTGGATAGCAAGTAAAACATTCAGTAAGAGTTTTCTGAAAATTTAACTAAAAATAAAAATGTTAGGCTAGCAAGTAAAATATTTCGGAAGATTTAGGAAGGACTTCCTGAAAATTTAATATTTAACTAAAAAAAATAAAATTTAGGCTAAAAGGTAAAATATTTAGGAAATGCTTCCTAAAAAGATATATTGGTTAGCAGAAGCATTCAGGAATGACTTCATGAAAATTTAATATTTAACTAAAAAGGGAAATGGTATGATATCAAGTAAAATATTTAAGAAGATTTAGAAAAGGCTTCCTGAAATTTTTTAATATTTAATTAAAAATAATATTATAGGCTAGAAAGTAAAATATTTAGGAAATGCTTTCTAGAAAATATTTTGGATAGCAAGTAAAACATTCAGTAAGAGCTTCCTGAAAATTTAACTAAAAATAAAAATGTTAGGCTAGCAAGTAAAATATTTAGGAAGATTTAGGAAGGACTTCCTGAAAATTTATTGGATAGCTAAAAAGTAAAATATTTAGGAAATGCTTCCTAAAAGGATATATTGGATAGCAGATGAAGCATTTAGGAATGGCTTCTTGAAAATTTAATATTTAACTAAAAAGGGAAATGGTATGATATCAAGTAAAATATTTAAGAAGATTTAGAAAAGGCTTCCTGAAATTTTTTAATATTTAATTTAAAAATAAAATTTTAGGCTAGAAAGTAAAATATTTAGGAAGTGCTTCCTAGAAAATATTTTGGATAGCAAGTAAAACATTCAGTAAGAGCTTCCTGAAAATTTAACTAAAAATAAAAATCCTCCCTGAATTTTTAAAGAAATTCTATTGTTTAAAAAGACATTGTTAAAGATTGAGAAAGACAATATAAGTTTTTCGGAACATTTTACTAAAATGTGTATGAGTATTTTTATGAAGCTTAGGATGATCATCCTAAATTGAATGTTAATTACTAGTTGATCAAGAAAAAAATTCAGGAAGCTTTTCTAAACTTTTAGTAAAGGCATTCCTGAATTTTTTAAATAGTTTATATGGTTTTAAAAAGACATTCTTAAAAATTTCAGATATCATTTTATATATTTCTGTAAACCTATCCAGAAAACTCGAAATGCCTTCCTACATTTATGATACACAAATGGCAGTTAAATTTAATTATGTGTTGAAAATTAACATATGATTCTCCTCGGCCTAGTGGCTAAACTTGCATATTCTCCCGAAACACTAGACACTCTCCCTCCGGGTTTGATCATTAGTTGGTAAAAAAGAAAAATATTGTTTTTTTGTCTGAAAACATCAAAATTTGAAACTTTTTTATTATTCAGATATCAAATCCTTAATCCTTAATCTCATTTTATTTTTTTGTTTAAACTTTGCTACACATAGAAACTCTTTAACATTTATTTCTGGAAACCTTTCCAGAAAACTTGAAATGTCTTCCTACATTTATGATACACAAGTGGAAGTTAAACTCAATTATATGTTGACAACTAACAGATGATTCTCCTCGTCCTAGCGGCTAAACTTCCATACTCACCCGAAACACTAGACACTCTCCCTCCGAATTCGATCAGTGTTGTGATAATAAAAAAAAAACTTTTTTTTTTGTCTGAAAACATCACAATTTGAAACTTTTCTATTATTCAGATATCAAATCCTTAGGTCTTAATCTCATTTCATTTTTTATAGTTTAAACTTCGTTACAGAAACACTTTAACATTTATTTCTGGAAACCCATCCAGAAAACTTGAAATGCCTTGATACACAAGTAAAATAATTGATATCCTTGGGATCTTTCTTATGTAATTTCAAGACCATCCGCAAAAAAATTCATTAACATAAGCAAATCAACATTCATGACAAGTCTTTTTTTTTTTAAAACAGAGTTTTAACAAAACAAAAAATGTTTCCGTGCATCTTTCTCATTTTCCAAAGTTTTCATCCACAAACTGGTTAAAGATCTCACAAGACAATCTTCTCCTTAGTTCCCTTGCATTTTCATTGTTAATCTTTAACATATCCCCTATTTTCAACGAGTGGCACTCGAGAATCTTGACTAGAAAGAACCAACGATGTAAATGAAATTTTTACTTGGGTAAACCTTGTGCCTGCTCAACTTCAAATGGTATCACCTTCTTTTTATCAACCTCATCACCAAAATATTCTAACATCAGAGCAGAAATGGTTTTCCTGAAACTACACAAATGTTTTCTAAAATTTTTATAAACACTAGAAAGTTTCACAAGCACGAGAAACAAGAGATTCATACGCAAATTCAAGAGCCTATCAAAGATATCAACATGCCTAAGCAGAACAAGACACCAAGCAAAAAAAGTTTCAAAATTTGTTACTATCCGAGTTTCTGGAAGGCTTTCCTGAAACTACACAAATGCTTCCTAAAATTTTTAGAAACACTAGATACCTTCACAAGCACGAGCAACAAGAGACTAATAAGCAAATTCAAGAGCCTATCATAGATATCAACATGCCTAAACTAAACAAGACACCAAGGAAAAAAAAGTTTCAAAATTTCCAAGTTTCTGGAAGGCTTTCGTGAAACTACACAAATGCTTCCTGAAAACTTTATAAACACTAGACAGTTTCACAAGGACAAGTAACAAGAGACTCATAAGCAAATTCAAGAGCCTATCAAAGATATCAACATGCCTAAAGAGAACAAGACACCAAGGAAAAAAAGTTTCAAAATTTCAAACTATTCTTGAATGCTTTCCTGAAACTACACAAATGCTTCTTGAAATTTTTATAAACACTAGACAGTTTCACAACCACAAGCAACAAGAGACTCATAAGCAAACCAAAATTGGTCATGTTCTTCAATCACTTTGGCTCTGATCCAGTTGGATACTTGAGCTCAGACAGAGCTAGTAATTAAGGTACTGAATCTCCCATTGTGTCCATGTCTTGTGTAAACCAAACCAAATTGTTTTTTCAAATAGTATCAGAATTTCTGGAAAGCTATCCTGAAACTTCACAACGCCTTCCTGAAACCAAAAGAAAAAATCTCAAAAGTTTTCCAAGCAAATTAATCTTAGTCACACTCACGAACACAAGTAAACTCTTCTGCCTCATTTCACACACACAGTTTTCAGACATTATCATATCACCCAACTTACCTATAAAGATCCCCTTCCCTAACATTTATAATGATACCACATTTAACACTTTCTTGATTGAATTATTGAAATGCTTCAATCTATCCTATTTTAATGTTCTCTCTTTGATATGTATTCTCTATTTTGTAGACAACTAACTCTATTTGGTGATTTCTATAGCCAATATTTTTTTTATAGATTTTGATTATGTTTTTTTTTTGAAGATTAAGTTTCATTTTAGGATAACCATCCTGAACAAGGATTGTCTAACATTCCTTATAAGCTTTTGATTCTCTTCGAAAACAGACTTATGGAAGAAAACACACTCATTTTATTTTTTTTGGAAACTCATCTTGAATGTTCCAAAAGCTATCCTTTATAACATATGTGTTTAAATTTTTTCCTTTTTTTGATGTAGTGATCTGTAGAACAAGAACTTGATTCTCCAGACATGATGCAATGAATCAGTGAGAGAGAGAGACCAAAGTTGAAGGATATTTCTAAGGTCTTCTCTTGAAGACACTAAAACCATGTGAAGAGAGAAGCTTTTTCTCAACTGTAAAAGATCCCTCAAGTGACCCGTGACTCTAAAGAACATGAAAGATCACGAGAAGTAGAGTCACTGGTTTGCTCAATATTGCAAATTTCATTTGTTACTACTAATTGCGCAAATCCAAAAGAGACTATATCTTTTTTATTAAAAACAAGTCAAACAGAAGTTTTGTATATTTATATTGATTACAATCAGTACAGACAAGACCAACACACTTAAACCAAAGAGACAAAAGCTCAACAGATGCACACTTTCACAGAGATTGAGTCACTTGACCTAAGATTACATAGCAACACATCTCTTCCGCTTAAAGTCATTTTGAAGAAACTGTCAACTTCTTCTAGTAACTGATCTAATCCCTGAGACAATTTATCATCTTGTGTTCCCAACTCCATTACATAGTCCTTAAAAGATTCAACTTCCACAGGATCAACGCCATCTTGTATCATCGGGTAAAGCTTCTCCACACTAGCATCAACGGCCTCAAGCTCTTTGAGAATCGTACTTCTACCTGAAGACAACATGTCTCTGATCTCAGCGTTCAGAACACCCCCATGAGCGCGGTCAAGACTTCCCATTGCAACATCTCCTGGTTGAGATCTAGGCATTTGATCCTACGAGTCTTCACTTTCTTCTTCTGGAAGTAAACCTGCCTTCTTCCCAAGAGCTGTAGTTTTAACATGGTACATTATTAGTCTATTGTTTTCGCCTGTAATGCATAAAATATAATAAAACGCCAAATGAACTTACGGTTGAGATAGGTAAGTACAAGAGTGAAAAGAAGGTTGAAGAGTACTGTGAAACCAAGCAAGGCTCCAACCCCAATCCAGTACCAGTTTCTGTTATGGTAGACATCCCAATTACGAAGCACCATGGTTCCCAGCCTTGTCCTATTGTCGAAAGCCTACACAGTTTTTTTTTTTTTTAAAGTGAAAGTACTATGATATACATATAATACAGAATAAAGCAGCAAAGACTTAACTCACCATTTTATTCATCCATCCTGGAGCAAACATTTCATTGACCGTTGAAATCATAGGTGAGAGGAGATATCCAATAGGCCCACCTCCACCACTCAGGAATCTCACTTCGTAGAAGAAGGAACCCATCGAGAAAGAAGACGAGAAGGAGAGTGAGAGCAACACCTGTGTTAGCTATCATCATGGTCCTGCACACAGAAGCAAAGCTACAAACAAGTTAATAAGTGTAGTGACAGAGGAATCATGAGTATGCAAAGCTTCAGTATGAAACTTATTCTGTTCAACAGACAAAAGAAAAAGCATCCCACCCTGTAAATAAGATAACAATTCAATCTCAGGAACGACAGAATGAATCCTAATGGGGAAGGTTTTAAGATTATTACGCAGTAGCAGAGGTCAAGACTATCAGCAATATGAGACAGATTCTTCTTGAGTTGTATGATGATCCCTCCTTACCTTTCTCGGATACTCTCCATTTGAAGCAGTGGTATACAACGAGAAGAGAGCCAAAAGACAAGATCCAGACGGCAGCTAGAATGAAACTAGGAGCACCTGTGAATCCAACAGACTGTAAGAACATTACTACATATCTTAGAAATTGAATAAATCAAGAACAGGAGGAGACAAACTGCCCAGTAGTGATTGTTGGTGATGTTCCAGCCACCAAGGTAAGGCTTAAAGGCCCTGAGATGTCGGGTCTCTTGGTTCTGTGAGCTGCCAAGACGAGGTAATCAGAGGGATCAGCAGAAGGTCCTGGTGCTAACGAAGCCGCTGAGATTGCACCTTTCCATGATCCAAAATTTGGTGATCCTGTTAGCAAAAGCAAAATTTCACATGATCAAAATTGTCACCTAACAAAAAGTTGCAAAACTCATCACAAGTTTCAAGCTTTGATTGATAAACTTGCCCAAAGACAATAACTTTGACACATGAACTGGAACCGACACTTAACAACAGATCACAGATAAAGGAAACTTCAAAAAAAAAAGAAGATCAAAGCTTTTAATTCAGGGTGGTAAAACCCAGAAACCAAGATGACATTACAGAGAACTCAAGCAAAAAGAGCCAATCCAAAAACGAAAACGTGAAGCATTTCTTACTCCTCTTCGTATCCCTTGACTTGTAGCTTCCTTTTATCAGTCTCATGTTCATCTCTTTGATGAAAGTTCTTCATCTTCGCGTGATTCTTCAAGCTACAACTCCAAAATCTGATCTATACCTAAGAAGCAAGTGAGACACATAAGATACTCTCAAGTAGCAAGTGCGTGAGATCCAACTCAAACCCCAATATAAAAACTAAAAGGAAGCTAAACCTTTTGTAGACTTCACCGAAGTTTCACCCCACAATTGCTTCCTAAACAAACCATCAGCACACTGTTTCCCTTCCCAAAGCTCAAGTCCTCCAGTAACAACCCCCGGAATGAACACAACAGGATGCTTCGCCTTACGACCTTCTTTCTTCAGCTTCACGCCTGGGGGATCAGGCAAAGGACCCGTGATCGCCTCCGTCACGGAAAGCTCGCGGGCATAGCGTTGTAAAGGAAGAGGAGGAACCACCACGTGAGGCACACGCACCCGATGAACCAACAGCACGAATCGACGCACGACCACTTCACCTTGTCGTTCGGTTTCTTACGTTTTTTCGACGATTTGTTCTGTGAATCGTCGTCATCCGGCAGCTCCTCGGACGGTTTCTCCCTCGTCGACTTTTCCTGTATATCAACGACGTCTCACCCACACCAGCCGATTGCAAAAGGTTGAACCTTTACTGGGTTAGACAACAGGTATGGTGCTAATCCACAAATTTGCTTACATCAGTCTATATGAATGTCCCTAACTGCTGATTGAATTTTTCCATTTCAACATACTGTTTTTTTTTTAAAGAACGGAAGCCCAAACTCCACGAATAGTTGTTTTCGGCACGATTATACATAACCATGAAGTCAACCGGTGTAAACGAGTCACTGACATCAGGCAACGAAGCGGCGGTCCCATCTGGTCCTGTCAAAACTGTTGGCCAAACGGGTGTTTCTTCCAGCCATCTCATCAATTTTATCATTTATGTGTGGAACTTTTGAATTATTTAAAAAGTGGACTGTAGCTTTGGAGATCTGATCTTAGGGATGAGAAGCGCCGGAGAATAAGATGAAGCTGAAGCAATTAGAAGGCTTATTGGGGGATCTTCAATAGTTCTCTAACCCTAAAGTATTTTCCAAAAAAAAAATTATTTTTTTCGAATAAAAATTCGAGTCTTTTTGAATCAAAAGATTACTCTTTTTTGATGTTTGTGTGTCGCAGGTAGAACTGGAGCAGTACCCAACTGGTCCTCACATTGCTTCTCGCATGCTCTTCACTGTAAAGTCTCTCCCTTTACATCAAAAGCGTCTTCCTTTATTTGTTTCTTTTGAGTGTAAGAGAGGTTCATAACAGTCTAGAGTAATGGTTTCAGTGTGTGTATTGGGTTTGTTACTGTTTCTTGAAGAGTGATGAAGTGTGTTTTGTTTTAGGCTGAGAATTCATATGGAGACATAACTGACAAAGTTATTGCGGATTTTGGTTGTGGTTGTGGTACTCTTAGTGCTGCTGCTTCTCTTCTAGATGCAGTGTGAGTGTTGTAAAGTCTTCATATTTTTTACTCCAACTCATCAAAATACTATTAATATTCATTCTCTCTTTGTCTTTTTGTGTGTTTGGTTTTGATATCGACCCACAATCTCTTGAAACCGCAACACTAAATGCAGATGAGCTTGAGGTTTGGTAACATTATTCTTCTTTGGTTGTTAGCAATACTCTTTGCTGTAATGTGGTTTGGTTTCACATGTGGAGATAGATTTTGTTAAGTGTGACGTTACTAAGCTTGAGTTAAAAGGTAAAAAGCCTCCTTTTGATTTCAACAAGGTTGGATGAATCTATTTTTAGCTTAATCCATGAGTTTTTTTTTAGGTCAGGTTGTGGATACTGTTGTGATGAATCCTCCCTTTGGTACACGAAAGAAAGGAGCTGCCATGGAATTTCTCTAAGCGGCTATGAAGGTTGCCTCTCAAGCTGTTTATTCCTTGCATAAGACATCTACTAGAGAAGTGAGTATCTTCCTTTAACTATTTACACCTTTTTAGTATATGTTTTTTCTTTTCATTGTCACAGCACATTAAAAGGGCAGAGTTGCGTGATTTTAATGTGAAAAGTGCTGAAGTTATATGCGAGGTGAGAGCTATCAACATCATATCAAACTCTTGATGTTAATGTTTATGGACATTCTAACTTATTATTCATGTTTTTCCCATTGCAGCTCCGGTATGACCTTCTGAAGCTCTACAAGTTCCATAAGCAAAAAGAGGTTGATATTGCGGTTGATCTCTGGCGTTTTGAGCCCAGACATGACTAATAAGGGTTCTTCAATTCACCACGAGCATGTAATGTGAATTTTATGATATGAAGTATGAACTCACAAACAAATATGGGTTCTTCAATCTCATAAACAAAGAGAACTTCTTAAAGCTTTTGTATCAGTTGAGAGCAGTTAAATTTAGTGATATCCAACCATGGTGGTATATCAACATCAGTGCTCGAGAATCATGAGATCATTAGACAAAAGGTTATCCCAAAGATAAATGAGTATCTGATTATACGTATATCATTTGGTAAAAGTCAAATTGCTAATTCTATTTTATTTTTATTTTTTAAATTCAATCAAGGAATGAGAAAGAAAGGAAAGTTAATGATAAAAACTAATCCCATGGACATTTTTGTTGAATAAAATTCATATTGGGACTGATGATAAATCATGATTTATATGCTAAGAGCATCTTCAATGATATATCAAAATGAGGGAAAACATCAAAAATGAGGAAATCCATCTCCAATGGTACTTCATTTTGAGGGAACATTATTCACTACCTCATTTTGATGTCAAGCTTTTTTTATTTATATAATGGTCCTTTATTTTTTGTCAATCTTTATTTTATGCATAAACAAAACATTAACACTAAACATAATCTTATAACTTTATATCTAATATGTATATACTAATTAAAATTCTTAAAATATAATTACCAATACTTATTTCTTAAAATATAATTTATAATCTATAATTTTATAATTTATAATATATAATTAAAAAAATAGAAAACAATTCCATTAATAATACGAAGTTAAGAAAAACACAACAAACCTAATACAATTCTATTATTACTTTGTATGTTGTTATATATCTTTATTAAAGTAATAAATATTTTTTTTATAAGTTAAAATTTTGTTAAATTATAGAATTTAAAAATAAGTGAGTATACTCTAAAATCTTATGAAATAAAATATGTTATTTGTAATAAATAATAAGCTGCAAAATGAATATAATAATAATTGAAGGACAAAATGAGAGAAACCATTGGAGCAAATCACAACCTCATTTTGAGAGAAAAATGAGGGAAACCATTGGAGATGGTATAAGAATAGCTAACAACAAATGACACTCTTAAATCAATAAATATTTAAGCATGAACTACAAGTATATAAACGTTTGGATCAACTGTAATTAACCATTTATTTTCATGAGAATCCAAATAGGTCAGATAAATTTGTAATATGATCCATGCTTAATTAACTCCTTATTCATTTCAATTTTCCCTCACGATCCCATACTTGAAATGTATTATTTAGATATTGAAAAGAGAGAGTACTAAATAGCCATCAATGCAGTGAATCATAACGCCATGTTCATAAACAATAGGACAGACTAAATTAAACCCCATGGTATTGCAATCATGGCATCATATCACCTCAGCAACAAATGTCAATGCATACACTAAGGACATGATTAGTTTTTCTGTTACCACCTGCAAACACAGTTTGCGTTTTACAATAAACATAGAGAATACTATAAATCGCTTCAAATCTCTTTAAACTTCTAAATTTTTAAAATTGATTTCAGTTAGCGGTTGCGCTTATGGAAAGATAAACACAATTTTGTTTTTCAAAAAACTACACAAATATGAAAACATTAATTAAAATTTTAAATTGAAATAATAGAAATACCCAGAATTATATTATATTTTCAATTATCTTATAAAAATTTAAGACTAAATATTTTTTTTATATTTTTTGCAAAAATGAATAATATAATTATTATATTTATTAAAACAATATGATTTTAAATATTTTTGTAATTATATAAAATTTAAATATTATTAGTTTATTATTTAACCAATGGTATATTTGTGTAGTTAATTAGTCATAAGTATCTCACAAAAGTACCAATTTCTAACCGTTATACCAAGTGTACAAATATTTTAATAATGCTTAAAACCGTACTCATTGTATTTGCAAACATCTGCAACATCATCCACAACCGTTGTGGTTACACCAGCCATGTCCTAGTAGTGGGTTTGATTTACATCACTAAACAATAATTCGAAAATAATAAGGTTTACAATTTACTTCTCTATTTCCTATTATATGATGTTTTGGTCACATGTATAAGAATTAAGAAACATTTTTAAATAGTATCAGTAATATAAATCTAAACTTAGCTAATCAAACATAAATAATAAATATAATATTATTGGTCAAGTAAGTTTCAAAAAAATGAAAAAAATAAACTATCAAAACATCTTACATTTTCAAAAAAAATCTTTTTGTAAAACATGTACATTGTAAGACAAAGAAAATATTTAATTTTATGCATAAAACAAAAGGACAATAGAAATACTCCATGTGTTTTATTTTAGTTGTCGTTCTAGGTTTTTGCACACAAATTAAGAAAATATTTAATTTTACATATTTTCAAAATAAAAATACCATTACCTATACACTTAACCACATTTTAACCAATAGAAAAATAAAAAATATGTAAGATATTGTAAACAATATTTAATGTGAAACGGAATTTTATCTCTACAACGACATGTAAATTGAAACGGAAGGAATATTAAGTAAAATTAATATTTATAAAATAACAAAATAGAAAAATAAAAATAAATTTAAATATGTAATCCGCGCGTAGCGCGGAAAAGGATCTAGTATTTATGAAAACGTTTTCATAACTAAAAAAGGGATATACCGATAGAGTATAAGAAAAAAAGACTTAAATGCAATTCATTTATATGGACGGCTCCCTTTCAGGAAGTAGGCCTATCAGAAAGTATGAATGCATGCGGCTGTGAATCCAGAAGGTGTAAAGTGTAAGCGGACGTGAAATTCAGATTTCGTGTAGACGAGGTTTATATCGAGCTGTCTAAAAGTCGAATATTTTAAACTTAGTGTAAGAAAGTAGGTCCAATTCTAATCTGGAGATCAAGCCCAGTTCTTAGACTCCAATGATCCAGCGAGGCCTATATTATTGCAAGTCTGTCATACTTTACGACGGTGAATGAAACCTTAAGGAAATAAGGAAAAGAAGATTCCCTATGGCGTGAGGAATACGTCAAGTTGTTTAGTATATATATAGACATGCTCTATACGAAGAAGATGATCTGAGATATCCGAGAGAAACCCTAATACACAAGAGACAAAGAGAAGTTAAGAGAGAGATCAAGAGTATAAGAAACTAAGGAGAGACATTGTTCGAGTCATGTCTCTAAGGGATAAATTTTCTTTGGTCTTTCTTATTCACCCGAGACGTACCGTTGCTAGAGGCCGGGAACTCGGTGATCAAATTCTATGTGTTATTTAATTAAGCAATCAAGCGATCAAGAATTCCTAACAAGTGGTATCAGAGCAATCCAGGTTTTGATTGCGGGTAAGGAGTCCGAGCAGAATCGCAAGGAAGAAAGATAAAGGGACCTATCTATTCTTCGAGAAAACTGCGATATGTCCTCTCGAAGATTTAGGGTTGAAAGATCATTGGGTAACGTGTATTTGGCCTAGGGAAGTACAAGGTGTCGAAGGAATAACACTCATCTCAAGGGAGTTGAACAAGGGCGGTATGATAGTCTTCTTAACAAGGTTGAAAGTTAGGTGGCGGGATCCATTATTCGTAATGGTGGTACAAGCATGCTCAAGGTGGATCTATCGAAATAAGAAGTTGTTTCAAGGGATTGAAGATCAAGGTGGAGGTGATGTTAGAGCTTCAGGTTATGTTCTGGTGAAAGGCAGTGGTGTCTCGTGATCGCTCGTGAACGTCTGAAGAAGTCGACAAAGAAACCGTGTTGATAGGCTAAAGGGAGTTAAGGCATCATGTTCTGTGTGGAATGGTTCTTAAAGTTAACTCGCAATGTTGTGTCAGTGGTTCTTGTATCGATAGTCTTTCTAACACGAGGGTTAGACGGCGTGTCCTATTTAGGTTTATACAGCGGTGCATGATAGACACATGTTATCTTTGCTCGAGGAGAATACATCAAGTGAGAACATGTGAAAAGTTTTTGATTAAAAGGAACGCAAGAGGTTTATGGTTCTTATGGCTTAGGCGGAAGAGTCAAAGAATAAGTGGAATTAGTCTACAAGACCAAAGTAATCAATCTGATAGGATAAATTCAGATTGAGAGCAGTCTCCAAAGTAAAAAGAAAATAAAATAAAATAAAAGAAGAGCAATTGCAAGCGGAAGTTTATGGCTGAAAGCTGATTACTTGGAATTATTAAGGGACGTCTTGAGTATGTCTATGACTATTAACATTGGGATACAAGTCAAGGTTTTCTGATTCAGAAAAAGGTGTAGAAGGTTATCAGCACCGAGAAGGGAATTTTGTTGTAATGGAGGGAAGTTCGTTGAGGCAGAAAAGGTTACTGGTATTAATAAAGATTGCAGAAAAATCAGATTAATATCACTGGAATACTTATGAATCATAAGGAGAAGACTTGTGTAATGCTAACACCAAGGCTGGTGTATTTTCTTATACAAGAAAAATAGAGGATGGAGTTTCAGCTAGGAGAGATATCAAGGGGTCTAGAAGTGATATCAATATGAGCTGTTACAAAGAAGGGTCAAGACCGTCACCGGAGCATTTGGCGTGAGACAAGTTAAAAGGAAACAAACAGTGAGGTTCAAGACTGTTAGAAAAGGTATGTCTAAACAAGAAGTTTGGATTACACGTTTGTGTCGAAAGTCTATCTAGCAGGTTAGCTTGATGGCTTGTTCTGTTTGGGATAACAGCGGTACAAAGAGGAGTTCAAGACAACATTGTTTAAGGCACAAGGGTTTTGAATCAGGGATTGCTTTTGGGTTTAAAGCATGTATGGTTCAGGTCTATTGCAAATGGTTCAAGGGAAGTTTGGTTCGAAGATCAATGCACATGATAAGAATCAAAAGAACATCAAAGGGGATCAAGTTGCAAGAGGTCAATGGATTCATTTAATCACTATTACAGATTCATGAGCTTAAGAGTAGTTATGAAAGAGGTTTAGTGATTGATAGTTTGATAAGGAAAAATCAAACAAGGTTTTTTCAAATCTCA